TTGTTCTTTTTCTGCTTTTTCTAATATCTCTCTTGTTATTCGCAGAAGTGCTACTTCATTTGGGTTTTGTTTTGTAAATGCTACAATGATATTATCTTTTCTATTTGATATTGCATATGTCTTACTTGCTTCATTGAAGAAGATTTTATTATGCATACTGTTCATAACCTCATATGCTCTAGTTCTTCTTCTGTATTCTTCTACTAAACTATATGCAACTTTTGCTGTTCTGTCTTTCTTGTTAGTATTTCAGGTTTTGTTTCCTAGTCTAGTTATTGAGTTTTCTTATGTTTTCTTTTCTAGAATTTTTGGTCAAGAGATCTACAGGAGAGAGTTAACTATTTTTTAAAAATTGTGTTTTTTTTTATTCTTAAAAATTATAATAAATGTTGCAAATTAATATAAAGATTGTCAAGCAATCATATAATTTTTATTTACAATATAAAAACTAATATAAGATGAACCTATATATAAACTTTATTTACATTCCAAATCTTTATTTTAATAATTCTATCTTTAAAAGTTCCTAAAGCCTTAACTTTTAAATGAACAATTATTAGTTAAAAACTATACTAAAAAAAAAAAAATCTTAAAAAAACAAAAAAAAACTTTTAACAAATAAAAAAAATCATCTTAAAAAAAAACTTAAAAAAAAAAAAAAAAAAATTTAAAAAAAAAAAAATTTTTTTTTAAAGATTTAGAAAGATAAAAGCAACATATTATCATTTTTTTTTACTATTTTTTTTAATATAACAGATTTTTTTTATAGGATGATACATAGTATTATCTTTGAATATTTTAACAATAACAGTTTTGTTATTGTTTGTTAAATTAATTATAGTTCTGATTTCTGTAAAGTTAGTTTAAAGCATTCTTTTTTAAGTTATTATATTTATATCAGTATTAAAAACAATTGCAAATAACTAACCAGATTTGTAAATATTTTTGTAGTAATGAACACTTGAATGCTTTTGCATTTATTTTCTTATTTTTTTAAGTTTGCTTGTTGACTTTATTATAAATTATTAAAATTCTCTAGATGGCCTTTTATAATTTGAGATATTGTTAGTGCTTCTTATACTTTTATTTTCTAAAAACTAACAGGATTAGTAGAATTGAATTGCTAATATATGTCAAAGAGTTTGTAACTAAACATCACTTTGTAAAGAATTTTCTATAAGCACTATGTTGAATGATATTGTAGAAAAAACAAAATTTAATAAATAGTCTTTTTAATTAATGTTTTGTAATTATATTTCTTTGTTTTATAGCATTTTTGTAAATTCATATTTAACTATTTGATTTAAATATTTAACTTGACCTTAGGACATTAAATGTCATAAATAACTATATTGAATTGTAATTCCAAGTGTTTTGCAAATATATAACAGTAAATTCTTTACTATTTTTAAATTGCAAAATCAATGATGCATCCTATTGTAAAAATGAAGAAATCAAAACTTTGCTGATAATATTAGCTTCTTTTGATTTAATTAAAATAACTCACAAAAATTTTAAAAAAATACAAACTATAATAAGAAATCAAAAAAATTCATTATTTTTATCTTTGTATACTATTAAGTTGATAAGATTTATTTGAAGATGTTTTATTAAGTCATAACATATAACTAATATTAGGTCTTTTTTTTCTTTAATCAAGCTAATTTAATTACAGGTATTACAGTTTTAAATATACTTACAAACTTTTTTTTTTATAATACTAATATAATGTGTCATAATTTTTTTATAACAATTATTTGTATTAATATAATAATCATTGTTGTAAAATTATTTAAACAAAAATTGATAAAACTCCAAGTTCTATATAAAAATAAAATAATAAAGTGACTGATTCTTAATTTGGGTATAAAGATGATCATTTTTTAGACATTACAGATTATTTTAAACTTAAAGTTCTATCAATTTTTTGAGATTATTGATATAGGTATAATTTTATTATAAAAGTAAGCAATAATATCCTAATATGTTTAAAGTGTTTTAAAAAAGTCAACTTTATAGACCATTACATAATATTTTATAAAAAAAGATTTTTTTTTCTTTTGTAATTATATTTATAATTATACAAATAATCATAGCATATAATATATATATTATAAAAACATTCAATTAAATAATAATCTTAATAATAAATACAAGTTTTTAAAACTATTATATATAGATTGTTAACATTTAATATAATAGTAACAATAAGATTTATAATAGTCTTTAGATATAAAAATATGCCAAACCTTGTTTTAATAATAGTTTTGACATACTGTATTATAAAATTAAAATCTTCTTGTTATTTTATGTCTTTATTTAAAAAATATTCTATTGCAATAATATATACATACTATCTATATATAATTATATATACCTGCTAATTCTAAATATGTAACAAAATTAATCTTATATTCATGTTTGTTAGTCTATTCAATCTTAAAAATAAAAAAATAAAAAAAAGCAAAATTAAAAAAAATAAAAAAAAAAGCAAAATTAGAAAAAATAAAAGCAAACTTAAAAAAAAAAAAAATTAAAATTAAAAAAAAATAAAATTAAAAAAAAATAAAATTACAAAAAAAATAAAATTACAAAAAAAAAAATAAAAATATAAAAAAAAAGTGAAATTAGAAAAAGAAAATTAAAAAAAGCAAAATTACAAAAAAAAATAAAAAAAAATTGAAAATTTGAAAAAAAAAATTTGAAGTAAAATAAAAAAAAACAAAATTTGAAAAGAAAAAAAAAATAAAATGAAAAAAATAAAATTCGAAAAGAAAAAAAAAGCAAAATAAAAATAAAAAAAACAAAATTAGAAAAAAAAGTAAAAAAAAGTAAAGTGTGCAAAGCAAAAAAAAAAAGACATGCAAAAAAGAAACCCAAAAAAAGTCAAAAACAATTATGTATTTCTGGTTAATTACACCTCACATTGGAAATTTCTATACAAAATCCCATAAGCACCTTAACTTAAACAAATCTTACGATGATCTCTCAGAATAAATTATCAATGTTTATTACAACTATTTTTTAAAAATTATATTTTATTCATGAAAATTACAATAAATTATTTAAATTTTAATAAGTTGAAAATGTTCTATTCCTTAACAGTTAACTTTTAACATAACTGATATATAAATATATAAGTATACATCTATAGAGGTTATGTATTTAAAGATAGTAGTTTTATAATGCCATTTAGTATATAGTTGAGGCTGTGCAATTTTTAAGTGTAAAGTGTGCAATAATCAAAAATCGGAGTTTCTCTTAATGATCAACGCTGTCTCTGATTGGATAAAAGTCCCGTGTTACGATATTAAATAATCGGTAAAATTAGCCAATCGGAAGTATTATAATAGCAAACCGTGTTGATCTAACATTACCGTAACTAAATATTGACTTAACAGTCCCACTTTTGGACCCCACCATTTTTTTATTTTTTTTGTGTACATTTATATTATAGATAAAAATTTATGACATCGATGTCATTGGCGCAGTAATAGTATTTTATTTACGAAGCATTTTAACAATCCATAATGGTTGATAGTGAAAAGTTTTAACTCGTTGCCCTAGCTATATTTGCATCTACATTGATGCTGTCTTGCCTTTTCGCACATATGCACAAAGTCAGAGAAAATAATATGCCAAGACTTTGATCGTTACCAATAGTAACGGTTTCTGTCAAGAAAAAATAAATTGTGTTGAGCACAAGGAAGATTCTACACAGTATTTTTATAATCTGACTTACTACAGAAATATTATTCAGAAATTTTTAAAACGTCATGAGTCCTTGAAGCTTTAGAGGGTGATGCATCAACAGGAGATTCACTTACACCAACGTGAGTTTTAGTTAAGGGAATGATTTTCTGTACTGAGAGGTAGTAATCCATTATTCGACTCTATCATGCCAAAAAAATAAAATAAGTATGGAATACATAAAAATAATACATTAAAAGCTGTCAAAATTTATACCTTAAACAAATAAACATTTTCTATAACTTCTTTTAAGACATACAATTGATCCTTAGTACTTGGAATACTAAATTCTGTTAGAACATCAACAATATGTAGACCCCCATTTGCTCGATGCATTACATAAAATGTAAACTTTCGCTCTAAGGTTGATAAAGAAAATATAAGGTTTAAACTTTAATAAATTTATGGGTCAGATCTCTGTTACTTACGGTAGACAACAATTCCATATGACTCTATAGAAGATACTTTTTGTTCTGTTGCTCCACGTGATATATAGTGTTGACGTTGGTAATGAATAGAAATTTGCATACACTTAAACACTTTTTCGGTATCTTCACTCAATTTTTTGATATCGGTATAAAGGGCGTTGCCAACGACCTCTAAGAACCCTACTTCTAAGATAGTAGCATTTACATTGATAGAGTATATCCCGTCCTGGGAACACCCGATGCTAACGCGTTGTTTATATTGACGAGTTTCGATCCTTTGAGTTTTGTTCGATTGGTTCTCTACCTCTCCTCTGTACAAAAGATAACTTGTTAGTGACCAGTCGTAAATAATAAACGAAAAAATTTTTAAAAGATAAATTCAAACCTACGTACGTTTTTACTTTGATTAAATCCATGATGTCGTCAAAAACTTTAACAACAATGGGATTTACAAAGTTTTCCCGGTAAGAAAGCTCACTTTGATCTGGATCCAATAGTAGGTTAGTGGGTGCATCAAAAAGAAATAAACTAAAGAATAAATAATATGGACTTTAAATTATGTGTCGCAAACGAAAATAACACTAATCGCGAACATTTATACTCACAACCGTTTATAAATATCTTGTACCCATAAGAGATCATGATGTTCTTTATGAATAAAAGGTCTAACATACGGCTTCTCTAGAACATCTTCAATAGTACTATCCAGGGAAATTACATCAAAAACAGATTTATTTTCTAAGTGGGTTTGGTACTTTTGGATAAGAGGAATTAGAACTTTTTCCCACTTATCTAAGCGAATTGTCTTTATTTTTTGTGATGGTTCTAACTGAAAGGTAGCAAAATTATTAAGTTTTCAACAATAAATGTAGGTTTAAAAGCAAACAATGCAATACCGAGTTCCAAATATCTTTTAGGATGCGCTTTTCGGATTTTGATAACTTATTAACAGGATTCGTAACATTTCGCTCCGAGAGATTAATGATTCGATAGTCGAATAGACGATATTTTATACCTTTTATCTTTTCGATTATTTTACGGATTTCCTCCGGTACAATCTGTGAATTCTATGAAGATAATACATAGTTAGAAAATCTGATGAGGGTACATTTTAATATTAAAGTTGTGCAAATACCTCTTGAGATAATTGTAAGTACGTATTTTCGATATCAACTTCGTAATTTTGCATTTGTCCTATTGTCTGTGAGGGAACTTCTTCGTGATCGAAATCGGAACAAGTGGAATCCAAATCCAAAAACTCTTGCCCAATTGATCCCTGGATCTGAGAGGATACGGAGGCACCTGATGAAGAACCACGCGGAAAAATTCGATGTGGAGGAGTATGCGGTGGCTCACATGGAGGAGTATGCGGTGGTTCACATGGAGAAAGAGTAACTGGGAAGTAGTCGTCTATTTTTGTACGTTTGTTTAAGAGGGCCTGCTTGGTCTGTTCATCCTAAAGTGTTAATAAAAATAATAAGTCCCGCTGATTCAACTAAATAAAAATTGCGTATATACTATATCTCTATATGATCACTTTTAGGTACTGACGATCCAGAAATGAAAGTCCCATTCTTGTTAATATTTATAAATCCGTTAATATTCTTACCAACTATGATAGATTAAAAAAATGCATAACCTACCCCTTCATGGCTTCTTTTGGATTCACAAACGAGAGTTCCGCCACTGATGGTTCCAGCGGTTATATTGCCCATGTTCCCACTGATATCCATAGTAATTGTCGGTTGATGAATATGCACTTGCTTGCGTGAACGCTCCCTCTCCCAAGTTTTTGCCTTTTTGCTATCAGGTTGAGAACCCTAAGACGAAAGACTTGAGAATATAAGTAATATACTTAACTATTGTATATCGTATTCTCATTTTTCTTCTTGACAACAGACAAGCTCGGAGGTCATCTGTGTCTGAAAGTGCCAGTAGGCTCGGAGACTTTTAAACATCAGGCAAGCTCGGAGGTCACCTGTGTCCCAACACTTTCTTTGTGGCTCGGCTCAGAGACTTGAATGATAGAGAGCTCGGAGATCTCTACCACGCCACTTATTCGTTAAAAAACATTCAAAAACTCAAACTTGCTTGCTTATATTTGTCGAGCAATTTCTGCGCATGCTCACACCTTTGATCTTTCTCCATTTTAACAATTGTTTCGAGTGATAAAAGGTATTCTTCAATCTTTTTTCTATAAGTTTCCAAGTCGCACTCTTCAAGGAAATCAATAATATTCCAGTCGGAACTTTTTCGACTAAAATATTTATGTACCCGTTTTAAAGATGACATGTAAAGTGCACAAGGTTTTTATGTAATAATAAGTAGGCTCACATTGATTATTTGATCATTTTGAACATAGTACCTCAGGTATCTTGCAAGATTCTATATCCCTGTTAGAGGTTGGAACCGGTTTTAAAAATTCGAGTTTATCACATGAAAATTCGAGTTTATTACATCTTCCCCAGTATCGCCAGAAAAAATTTTACTGTCACGTGAAATACGACAAAATTCTTTAAGTTCGTTTATGCTAGGGTTAATACTATGTTAGAATTAGAATTTAGAGGTTCTAATAGTAAAATGGTTCAAGGAAAACTTTTTATTAATGCGCAGAAGGTGGTTTATTATGTAGATTTTGAGTTATAAGCGATTTTAGACTAAACGAACGTTTGTTTTGCATTTTCTGATCGCGTAACGTTACACTAAATCATGTTTCATTATTGGCTCATTTCGTAGATCATCACGTGACAATAAAAATTGCATAGTAATTTTTCTGGCGATCCTGGGGTAGTTACACTAAAATTTTTTTTTTTTTTTTTTTTGCGAGTACAACTAGTCACATATGCAACTTTTGGTTGCCTATTTAAGTAGTCTGTTCTAAGGTTCTACACTAGATGAAGATTATCTATTTAAACCTTCTGATTATCCGCTCCTGTTATGATGTAACACCAACTAACCTCTCATATATACTTAACTAGTATACTGTTTGAGCAGTATATATCTATCTTTTTTATACTGGTTTCTAGACTATTACATATTTTAAAGTACATTACCTGTTAGTAAGATGCAAGAGGTTTCTTATTGTTAATTATTTATTCATTTTTAGAACATTAACAAGAGTTATCTTACTCAGACCTTGGTATTAACTTTACAATATATTTATAATACTTTTAGTATATTTTTATTTTGATCTCAGATTCTCAATTCAGATAATCTAAAAAGGTTGTAACTTGTTTTTGGTATATTGAGATTGGTCTAATATTCTTTTCCTTCAGTTTGAAATCCAGTAGCTTAGTTGATAGTACCTTTTATCCAAGGTTTTTGTCTACTAATTTTTTTACATTGATATTCATTTTTTAGATCTAGTTTTTATAATAATAATATCAAAGATTTGTATTATTTTTCTGCTTAAAATTTTTAAATGAGTTTTGACCTTCTAGTTTTATGAATTTATATAATTATAAGAACTTATTTTAGGTTTGCACTATTTAGTATTAGTTTGTATTTTTTTGTATAATCAAAATTATACAGATGTTTTAAAGCTGCCAATCATATTGAAATAATTATAGTTACAGATATCTTATTTCAATTGATTAACAAAATGTTATTATTATATTATTGTCTAAATATTATATAAGTATTTATTCAAATTTTTTATTAATAGGTTTTGAACTTATAACCTATTACTTAAGAGGATAACAACTTATCTATTTCATTAAGTTATTATATCTTTATACCAAAATTTAAACAATTATAAATGATTTATATATCTAAGATTATAAATATTCAAATTCAACTGATTAACAAAAAATAGTTATAATAATTCAAATATAATTTTTAAAATTTGACATTTATGAAAATTGAACTTTAGACCTGCTAGTCAAAAGTTAGCAACTTAAGAAATATAATGACTTAGTAAAGTAGATAAGTTGTCAACTTCTCAAATAATAAGTAGTAAGTTCAAATTTCATTGATAATGAAAATTTAAATAATTACTTATATAATATATAGATGATATTATAGTAATAGCATTCTGTTAATCAGTTGGGATAAGATATCTGTAATTAGGGGTCCAAACCGGTTTGCAAATCTCAATCCGTGATCCGTCGGGTCAAGCATTTTTATCAACCGGATATCCGAATTATCAACCGGATATCCGAGTCAACCGGGTTACTCGAATAAAACAGATAATCCGGTTATTAAGATCAAACCGGGTCACCCGATTAAACCGGATAATCCGGTTATTAAAATCCAACCGGGTCACCCGATTATAACGAATAATCCGATTATTAAGATCCAACCGGATCACCCGATTAAAAACGATAATCCGATTATTAAGTTCAAATCGGTTACCCTATTACGGATAACTTTCTTCTGATTGGTCAATCACTTATAATTGTATTTATACGTACAGTTTAAAGTATGTAACATTTCACAAGTAAAAAATAAAAATTAAACTCATCACTATTAGATGTAAACTGTGAATTACAATAAACTGTAGTTTATTTTAAAACTACAGTTTTACAATAAACTACAGTTTATTTGTCTTAACTACTAATTTACGGATCTCACTATCTTCGAAGAAGTGCCAACAGTCATTATGCAAAATAATCCCAAATAATCCCGCACCTTACCTAGAAGGTGAAATTTCTACGTATATTGTGACTATAGAACTATATGTAATTACTAAATCGTTAAATACAGCTGAGTTATTTAAAGAAGACTAACAGTACAAACGCCTTTTTTTTAAACAATAGATAAACGATTTCTAAACTATGTTAAAGAGGTTTTAAAGCATAAAGAATGTTAATACATAAGTCTTATCATAACGAGCTTTGGGTATAATAAACGATAGATCTTCAAATACTATATTATTTCGGCATAAAAGGTGTGGTAGGAATTTAAAAAATACATATATACAGTAGTCCTATTTTTTTTCTCTATTCTTTTGTTAAAGTAAGAAGCGATAAAGAATAATTAAGTTTACGAATATGATGTAATTTGATTGGTTGATTGTCACATGTTTAACAATTAGCCAATAATAACGTGTTATTCAATTTCATGTGACGACCAATCACGAGAAAGTTATCCTATATATTACAGGGACCTGTGGAATTTGAGCCGTTAAAGCATAAAATATTCAATATTTTTAACGATTGATATTTTGTCATCTGCTATGATTATTTGATTCAATATATGAAATTTTCGGTGACCGATAGTGACAGAATCGGCACATTAGCTTTTTACTGTCCTTTACAAAACCCTCCTTAAATTCTAATGCTCTGCTGTCTAATATGCTCGAAATATATTTTTTGTTGTAATTGAAGCAAATTGCAGTATTTGCAATTTGCTTCGATCACAGCAAATCACAAAATTCACAATCCCTGCCCGATTATCACGATGCCATGTGAAAATCAGAGAATTTGCGATTTCAAGATTTCCAATAAATATGTAATATTACTCAAATTTCCTGCCATCATCGCTACGAAAATCACAGTCACACTTTCTTGCAAACTACTATAAACAAATAATCACTTTATTTTTCAAAAAGGTTGTAAGCTTTTTCAGATATAGTGATAAGTAAAATATGACAAAAATTTTCTTTATCAACACGTTTACATGAGAATATTGATATATTTTATTTACAATTAGTGGTTTTAATCAATTAAGAATTTTTTTTTTTTTTAAAATGTAAACCACAGTAGGAACATCAAAAATCGAATTTGGTGGCTATAAATATCAAACAAGATAATAAATTAAAAATGCCCGAGAATCTATTTAGTAAAATAGAATGTTTTAATTTATTAAAATATAGGTCTTTTTGGCATTTAACATATAATAAGAAAAATATAAATTATTGTTACCAATAGTACTGTTTGGAAGCGTTATTTAGGGATCATTGTAAGTTTACTGTGAATATAATAATAAAAGTATTCATAAGCCTAAAAAAATATCGAACATAGAGACCCGTAATAATAAATTAAATATATTTAGTAGAATATAAAATAGGACAGGTACGCACTTACTATTGTGGTCCGAGAAATCTGCCAATTAATTTAACATTAGTTTTATCGAAACGAATTTCATTGACAAATATTATTAATGGCCCAAAAATATAAGATGGTTGTATTTTATAATTGCTCAATTACAATGAAATGTTTGCGCTCCTATAATTCTGCTATGTAATTTTTTTTTGATTTTTATAAAGCTATATCACTGTGAAATAATTCATATCTATTGGCTTTTTCCTTCTTTTATACTACCTGATCTAATTTTCAATCCATTACTACAGTATCTTTGGTTATGCATCATTTGATTTATTTAATTCATCCGGTTTGAAAATAGGAAAATGCTGCATGTTGCGTTTGAGAAAAAGCATTTGCTCGACCATATCAGGATGAAGCCTGTTACGCAGTGTGGTAATGTGTAATCCGGCATCAGAGAATAATCGCTCTGAAGGAACCGAGGTTGCAGGTACTGACAGATATTTCCGAACCAGACGCGATAACACAGGATATTTTTCAGATCTATCCTTCCACCAAGTTAATGGATTACAGCCTTTTTTCTCAATCGGTTCACGAAGATAACGATCAACTTCGGTTTCATCATAAGCTTCACCATCCAATTCCTCACTACTATATAAATCTGCAATTAAGCCATTGGTTGTTACAGGTTCACGAACTGGCGTGTTAACTGACTCATCAGGCCTAATTATAGGTTGGTGGTTTTTTTCCTCAACACAAAGTGCTCGCACTGTATCAAATATTGTCGCCTTTATTGCTTCATTATCAAGAAATTTTAAATTTTTAATTCGCGGATCTAAAAATGATGCTACAAGCCCAATTCTTTCAGGAACCTCCCAATATTCTTTAAGAGAAAAGTAACTCGTGGCCTTAACAAGATCACATAGTCTTTCGTTATTAACAGGTGGCTCAATTGACTGACGACCTTTAAATCGTAAATCATATATAATTTTTTTGGCTTTGCTATGAACTTGTTTTTTTTTTCGTCCTCGTGCTGCTTGTAATGGTTGTCGAAGTTGCTCTGAGATCATTGATGCATCAAATTCATTTTCTATATCAGATTCAGGATCATTTTCCTCGATTAACTGGCTTTGGCTGTAAAAAAAAATAATAAAAATAAGATAAAAAAAAGTAAATATTATATCAAATTTTAAACAAGAAGACCGTCTAAAGTAAGGCAGTTTTTGAATTAATTACTAATCGCCACCAGGGGAAAACCCGTCATCGGTCTTTCAATTATATTTTGTACCAGACATATTATAAATTAAATAGATTGTGTTCAATCCAAAATATAATTGAAAGCCTGGTAACAGGTTTTCCCTTTGCGGCATTCTTTATGAATTAAAAATTATGCAAGAATTTACTTACTACCGGTTTAGACGATCTTTAAAACCAAATATTTTTATTTTTAATAAAAATTTTTTTAACATGCCTACTACTAGGTTCAAATAATAAATCGGTATAGTCATCCTCAGTTTGCTCATAAGAAGGTGCAAACTTCTTAATGAGCAATCTCATTGTCGGATAAATAAGGTTATGAGTAGGATAGCTTGAACCTGAAAATATGGTAGTGGCCTCATAAAATGGCTTCAACAATAGAATAAGATTATCTAACAATCGCCATTCATTTTCAGTTAAATTTATTAATTTCAAATATTCGCCATCAAGTCTGTCACAGCATTCTGATTCTGAAGGCAACATTAAAACAAGATACTCAATCGCTTTTCGTAACTCTTTAAGCCAACCCAAGCCAGGTATGAGGAGTTCCATCTTGTTGACACATCGTTGATTGCTTGATGAATCCTTGAATATCTACATTTTTCTTGTGCATCCTTAAGTCGTTCAGATTGTTTAGGGCTTTTAGAAAAAAAAAGAATTAAGTTTTTTGCTTGTTTAATTAGTCGCACCGCAGGTTTAAGACCTTTTATCACACTTAGTTGGAGTGTGTGCGCAGAACAAGATAATCGTGTAGTATTATCCATTAAACCAATTGCTTTTTTAACATTAGCACCATTGTCAGTTGTAATGCAAAAAACCCGCCCAGTAAGTCCCCAATCAGTAATAACTTGATTAAGAGAATCTTCAATAGCTTCAGCCATATGTGGTGATGGGAGTGGTCGTATCATTAATAAAGCCTCCTTTAATTCGAAATTTGAATCGATCCATGTCACCGTAACCCCAATATACCCTTGATTTGTTCTTGAGGTCCATAAATCTGTCGTCAGATTAACATATCCACCATCTGCATTTATCATACTAAATAATTGATCGCGACTCCATTCATAAGCCTTATTAATCATTTTTTTCACAGTCTGCTCACAAGGAATTTGAAATCCAGCCTCCATATAGTTTAAGAGACGACGAAAAGCTTTACTTTGTAAAATGTAAAAAGGTTGACAATCCTCAATAATAAATTCAACCAATAATTGCGTTATTTTTTCCTGCCTCCGTTTTGTAATGACATGCATAGCTTTTATAATTGAGCCATTAGTGTTGGTTTCCTCAGGATGGTCTTTATCAATTCGATGCTTTGACCAAAGATGGCCCAGCATATTTCCAGTTAAAGAGTCATGTGCATACTTGACAGTAATGTTTTTTTCTTTACAAATTCGGCAAACAGTAAAATCGCCTTTTTCTGTTGTCTCAATATTGAAATAATCCCATACAATACTAGAATTATCGCGTTTTTTTCGTTTCTTTGTTTGACATGCTGGTGATTCTTCAGATATAGGTGGCTCCTCGAAACCAGAAAATTCATCATCATACACAGAGGGTATATTATCCTCTAACATGTAATTAGATATTGAGGAGTTCATTCAGGTAACACACCTACAATTATTTTTTACTATTATTTACTGATAATTTTTCCTCGCATAATGCATTGAATTAAAAAAGTTTACCTACTTGCAATATGTGTTCAACCTTCACGCATGTTTTGAGATATTCTTTGGTTCAGCAGCCGCTGTTTAAGTAATTTATATTTGGCACAGGGAAACCAGTTTTTTTTTTTTTTTTTTTGAAAAATCACAAAGACGTGGCTATTTAATAAATGTATTGTCTGGTTAATGGTGGCAAGTGAAGACATTCTAATGTTCTTATAGTCAAGGTTTTCATAAATCACGATAATAGGTTTGTCCAAAAATTATTTTTAAAGAAAACAAGTACCTTCTTGCAATTATAAACCCACGCTACAAAAAAAAATAGCGAACAAAAATTTTTTTTATTACATTTTTGGTTATATTTAAACTTTAAACTTAACCTTATTTTCAATATCTGGTTTGTAATTAGTTGATTGTCTAGGTGCAAACCGGATTACTACTTGTTGTCGGGTCCACTGTAATGATGTTGTTATAGAACAATTTATTATTATTTTATTATTAGCTATTATTATTATTATTATATTATTATTATTTAGTATTAGTTATTTTATTGTTGTATTATTATTATTAGTAGAAGTTG